CATCACATATCCACTCGAACCACGTTTTACTCGGCCCCCATTGCTTTACTCATCTATCTACTAGAGATTAAATCTTGAACCAACAACCACCACTTTAGAAATATTCAAACCCCAAATTTGCCAGGATGCACCAAAACTGGAAAACTTCTAGAAATGTTTATTGCATGCTTCTGACTACAAGAAATGTTACAAAGTACATTGATCAGTGTATCGCTGAGTAATAAGTCGGTCAGTCTAATATGAGGTAAGACGGGTATTACCCTATCTTCGAACCAGATCGTCTTACCGCTCCAAAGGTTCAGGTTCGAACGCGGCGTACACGCGGAGCCATTCATCTGATTCTTTTCAGAACGGTACGAGTCCCATCTGCAAAATACCGCACATCCGTGCAGCTACGAGACGCAGGCTTACGGTACATATACTCGATCTTCGAGCCTGGGCAGGCTGGGACAAGTTTGTTCCGGCGCTGAGAACTGGCTATCGGCGCCAGATGGTGGTTTCACGTGTTTCCTTTTGTTCTTCTGATTTTTCTTCCTTTTTGTTCCTTTGCGATCGTTTGATACATCGGTAAAGAATTCACAACGTGTTTGATGGTGTCGGTGAAGAAGATATGATATGTGGCGTGTTCTCTGTAGACAGATGTCACTCGTAGTACCACAAACCAACCCTCAGCACAGCTACAGCCGTAAGATACGAAAGTGAGGCGCATCAAGAAATTCTCCTCTGCAGTCGTCCATATAAAAATAGACACAATCCATTTCTCCTTGTCCGATCTTAACTTCCCTATCCCATGACTATATGTACATAATCCTCCATCCCGAGATTCCCAAACCGGAAAAACGCGCGCTGCTTATATTTCTGTGCCACCACACCAACCCGCATACCATACACAATACAGCATACCCCATCCAAGCCAGCACCCCATGCCCCATTTATATACCAAGCCCTATCATATATATCCTACGTAGGAGAAATACCGCTCTCCCCTCCCCTTAACACACCACCCACCACAGATTTCACACCGCCTTCACTCACCCATCCTACATATTCGCAGCGTACAGTCTTATATATCTCCGAATCGGAAACTTGCTATGTTTTGGGAAGAACGCGAGATGATGACATACTTCGTGCATACATGCTTTCTTGTACCGACCACCGTACTCACCAAACAAAGGAGGAGATGGAAAAGGAAACATGATGGATAGCATCCACCACCACACCACCACCTCCACATATACGTACCGAGCAAACATACAATCGCCATTGTCAGCCGAAAAAGAGGCAGTGTAAGCCATCAATATCCCAGTCCACCCTATCTACGTGTTTAAACCCCGAGAAACTAGATTTCCCCTTGAAGCGAGGAGATGGAGAATTCCGATACACAATGCCTCGTTAAGCTCACAGCTCTATACCTCATTCCATGCATATCCCATATTCCATCCATGTTCCATGCAGAATACATGTATAAGATTCCTCCTATACTCTATGCATTCCATAATGCAACGTCGGCACATGGCATTTTTTAGAGCTTTGCTGGATAAAGTGTGTCTCTGAATGCGAATACCACCCACCTTGTAACCCTTCTCTTTACCTTTACTTTTCATTTTCAAACACGTCACCTCTAAACGGCAGTGTTAGATTACGTAGATGCCAACTAAAATAATTGCAAGCAAAACTTTGCGCCCGGCAAAATTTTTAAACGAAGCTTTTTGGTACGTTGATTGCATGCACTTTCCCATCGAAGCTTGTTTATAGAAAGAATTATTTTCTACTAGCCCAGCAGTACATTCGTCTGTGGACCTACCTTCGCCAAAGTCGCCTAAACTCTTTTCCCATTTCCTTCGTCCCCCCTTCCTCTCTCCCCTCCGCTCTAATTTGCCTTACCTTACCTTGCCTTGAACTTACCTCAAATATCTACACAAAGAATGTAAAACCCCTACATGCTCCCCCGTTATAAACCCTATCCATGACGAATTACCACCTTAACAAGCCCTACACAATGCTCTACCAGAGCCCAAGGACCAAAGAAACCAAGGACCTCCAACGGTTCTCTGCCACTGTCTCGCATGCATACATATGCAACTCCTGTATTGTACACCTCGGCATCTATCTAAAACCATAAAACGAAATGAGATGAGATGCAATGACACAGGGGAGATCAGATGAAAATGATGCAGGTGAGAAGGGGGAATACTTGGGTTAAGCGAGTGCGGCATAGTGCATGACCAAGAACAGATCCAGATATCTCTTAGTAATCATCATTAAGTCTTTTCTTGGAAACAAACACATAAATCATCATGAATTGAAGCGGCACTGGCAAGAACAAGCTGGTCTGTTTTCATTCATATGCGACTTTTGTGTAGCATTTTAGTTTACTAAATCTCAATCCCCAACTGCACTCCGACGACTGGAGACAATCAGTGCATCATCTGAATTTTGTGCGATGTTGCAAGTCCCCGGACGTCTCAGGTCCAAACCAAGACTCAGACTAAGTTCAAGCCATCAAGGTGTCAAGATCCATCTATAGTCTTTCACCAGCAGCCGCCTTAGCCTCACCATACTTCTTCAATCTGATAGATTGAACGCTGATGAAACCAGTAGTATCCGCAGGAGCGAATGAACCGATTTCGTCCATTGAACTCTCACTTGCATCGTACAACTTCTCGGTATCTGAGGAACGACCCAAAACACTGAAGGTACCCTTGTATACGCGGCATCTGACTTGTCCATTGACATTCTTCTGGGAAGCAACGATAGATTCCTCAATGAACTCACGCTCAGGCGAGAAGTAAAGACCGTTGTAGAGAATCTTGGAGTAGTTGAAGGTGACGAATTGATCACGAAGAGCACGGACTTCACGGTCCATAACCAAACCTTCGAGATCAACGTGAGCGGAGCGGAGACATGTAAGACCAGGGGTTTCGTAACATCCACGGGATTTGAGACCGATGAAACGATTCTCAACGATATCGATACGTCCAACACCGTGACGACGAGCAATGGCGTTAGATTCCAGGAAGAGCTCGACTGAATCAGTGATGGTCTTGCCATTTGTGATGAGTTTCTTTGGGAGACCCTTCTCGAAAACGAGAGTGAAGTCTTCTGGCTGATCAGGAGCCTTCAATGGGTCAACAGTCAACTTCCACATATCGTCTGGAGGGGTGATATCTGGATCTTCCAAGATACCAGCTTCGTAACTGCAGTGTGCCAAGTTCTCGTCCATACTCCATGGCTTTGCCTTTGTGCTGCTGACTGGAATGCCTGCCTTGGCAGCATACTCGAGGAGATCGTTGCGGCCTGCGAAACGCTCGTAGAATTCTGGTAGACGCCATGGGGCAATGACCTTGATGGTTGGTTGAAGAGCATAGAATGCGAGTTCGAATCGAACTTGATCATTACCCTTTCCAGTGCAACCGTGGGATACGGCAATACACCCTTCCTTTTGGGCGACTGTGATTTGTGCACGAGCAATGACTGGACGAGCGAGGGATGTACCTGATTCCCAGCCCAATTAGCCTTGAAGCTCTTCCTCGATCTTCTTATATAGTATATGTGTATGACTCACCCAACAAGTATACGTTCTCGTAGATAGCGTTACATTGGACGGCAGGGAAGCAAAGTTCGTCAACGAATTCTCTGGATATAATGTCAATTGAGTTCTTCCATAAAAAGTGAATAAGTTTGCATACCTCTTCAAATCCTCAACATAGCATGCAACAGCTCCGATCTTCATGGCCTTAGCTTTGGCAGCTTCGAAGTCCTCTGCTCTCTCATTAGTAAAGTCTTACTCTCTTAAAAATGCAGAGTATCGTACCCTCTTGACCAACATCAGCCATGAAGCAGACAACATCATATCCCTTCTCAATCAACCAAGCCAAAATACAGCTGGTATCCAAACCACCACTGTAGGCGAGACAGACCTAGAATCAACAAGCATCAGCTCAAGCTCCATCCCCTTCTATGTCCTACAGTTTTGAGGTTAAATCTTACCTTATCTTTTGCCATTTTGAAGTTTTGTATATGTGAAAATTGTATGAGGAGTAATTGAGAAGGTCAAGTTTGTTTGTATTCTTGGAAAGTTATGAGTAATGTCAGTTGTGGATTCAATTGAGGGAAGGGCCCCAACAATAGTGTATGAAATGGTGGGGTTGAACTACACGCTCTCCTTGAATGTTTTTCTTATCAAACCAAAATTTTCACCTCTTCAGCCACAAAGATAACCAAATGAAGTTAGTTGCAATTGACAGCCTTACCATTTTCCCCTGTCAGATGTGGCAGTTAAAGGGAAGATAGCCAATTGAAATGATCTGACCAAAATACATGACATGAAATCCTTATCAGAAGACGAGAAAAGAATTTTCGTGACTGCTGCAGTGTTGCAGGTATGGGAAGTGGAAACTCAAAAACACCCGATATTGACCGTTAGTGCCTCTATGGAACTACCTCCTCAATGTACGTCCAACTGGATTCAGAAATTGATACTTTTCAAGAAGTGGAGCGATTCTGACCAGCTTGAATTAAACAAAAACTCTTCGTGTGCGCGTTGGGTGTGAGCATTGAAGTGATGATCTTGACGACCCTGAACCACTCAGAATGAATGTACAGTAGATACACTTCCTTACAGACCACCCCAACAATAGATACGTGAAATTTTATCTTAGCCAAACTTCTTAGTAGACTCTTTCGATATTAGATAGTATATCAGAGAGCACATTTGACATCACCATGTAATTTTGCAGTAGGCATCAAGTTGTAAAATACTCTTGATTTCTTAATCCATCAAGGTGAACTACTTCATAGGATATCGACGATGTTCAGTCGCTCTACGCCCTCAATACCACTCGCTCCTAATTAACAAAAACACTAACACAAACCACACTTGAGAAATTATCAACCTTGCTATCAATAAATATGATTCGACATCGTGTTGCCACTAATGCAAGATCAGTAACCAGCCCGTCGTTCCTTTATAGAAGCAAAGTAGGAACGACGTTAAACGTCTATTCCTCGCCCTCAATTGGGGCCTCCTCTTCGTACTCCTCCTCTCCCTCAGAGATCGAAGCGTCCTGGTATTGTTGATACTCGGAAACCAAATCGTTCATGTTGGACTCAGCCTCAGTGAACTCCATCTCGTCCATACCTTCACCAGTGTACCAATGCAAGAAAGCCTTTCTTCTGAACATAGCAGTGAATTGATCACCGACACGCTTGAAAAGTTCTTGGATAGATGTCGAGTTACCAACGAAGGTGGAGGACATCTTGAGACCACGGGGAGGAATGGAGCAAAGGGCGGTTTGGACGTTGTTGGGGATCCACTCAACGAAGTAGGATGAGTTCTTGTTTTGGACGTTGCGCATTTGGTCCTCAACCTCCTTCATGGAAACCTTACCACGGCTTTAATAAAAAAAAGTTAGTATCTGCAAGATTTTGGAAGGTTGATTATAGGGCAGACTTACAAAATGGCAGAGCATGTCAAGTAACGACCGTTACGGAAATCGGAAGCGGCCATCATGTTCTTAGGGTCGTACATTTGTTGAGTCAACTCTGGCACAGTGACAGCACGGAAAGAGTGTGCACCACGACTGGTCAAAGGAGCAAATCCAACCATGAAGAAATGGAGACGGGGGAAAGGAACCATGTTAACAGCCAACTTTCGGAGATCTGAGTTAAGTTGACCAGGGAAACGAAGACAGGTGGTCACACCGGACATGACGGCGGAAACCAAGTGGTTAAGATCTCCGTAAGATGGGTTGCTGAGCTTCAAGGTTCTCATGCAAATGTCGTAAAGAGCCTCGTTATCGATACAGAAGGTCTCGTCAGAGTTCTCAACCAATTGATGGACAGAGAGAGTTGCGTTATATGGCTCGACAACGGTATCGGAAACCTTTGGCGATGGAACGACGGAGAAGGTAGCCATCATACGATCTGGGAACTCCTCACGGATCTTGGAGATCAAAAGCGTACCCATACCGGCACCAGTTCCACCACCGAGGGAGTGGGTGATTTGGAATCCTTGAAGACAGTCACAGCCTTCAGCTTCACGACGGACAACATCAAGAACTTGGTCGACAAGCTCAGCACCCTCAGTGTAATGGCCCTTAGCCCAGTTGTTACCAGCACCGGATTGACCGAAAACGAAGTTGTCTGGACGGAAGAGTTGACCGAAGGGACCGGCACGGACGGCGTCCATGGTACCTGGCTCCAAATCGACGAGGACGGCACGGGGAACATACTTGTTGCCAGAAGCCTTGTAGGGGTTAGCGGACGATTTTCGTAGAGTCGAAATTGTGTATATATATACCTCGTTGAAGTAAACGTTCATACGCTCAAGTTGGAGATCAGATGTACCATTGTAGCTGTAAAAGTCATGTCAGTAACGCTTAGAGACGAGACAAGAGCTTCCGATATTACTTACACACCGGAACCGTCAAGACCATGCTCGCCAGAGATAGTTTGCCTGTGATATGGTTAGTTTGAATCTGAGATTGTCGCGAAGCAGAGCTTTCGCAGAGTTGGCATCTCGTACCAGAAGGCAGCACCAATTTGGTTACCCTGAGTAGATGGTCAGTAGAGCTCATAGGATGCATCTGGCTGGATTAACTTACACATTGGCCGGTTTGAAGATGAACCTGTAGATCGAAAAGTTACTTGGTCAGCGATATGTTACTTTTAAAAAATATATAGTGGGGTGCTTTTCAGGGGTAAAGTCAACGCGTCTTGCAAGAAGGCGTAGAAGTCGTAGATGAAAAGACAGAAATACATACGATTTCACGCATATTGAAGGTTGATTTAGGTTCCTGTCTTGAGGTATTGAGATGTGGGAGTTTGGGTATTGAGAAATTGGAGGTGGCAGATAGAGAAGTATTAAGAGGTTTAAGGATTGCTGAGATGTCCTTGTGGATAGTGGAGTTTGTTGTTCACCGCTAGGCAGGAGTAATTGGTAAACAAATAAAACACTAGTGGGGATTAATTTACTCAATGGGCTTAGTGTATCGGACGTTGAGAGACCGCTGATCACGTGAAAATAAACTTTCGGATTCGTGAGGCAATTCGCATCAAAGCAGCCGATGTGTAGAGGGTCTCTTTGTTGACGGTACAGATTAATATTTTACTTTCTGTGTCATATTAATCATCATGGAAAACGAGATCAAAGCTTTCCTACCCAACATTGATCCGGTTCTATCGGAGTATTCAGTTGGATACCTCACCCATGCATCAAACGCATATGTCGAAGCAGACCAAAATGGTCCATCACCATTATCAGAAGCAGCGGTTGCTATCTCCGCGCTTTTACTATCAGCTTCTGGTGACCCAAGCCCAGAGAACCAGTCAAAGATCAATCAGATAGTGGAGAAATGGGTTCAAAAATTTGATGGGAGTGGGCAGAATAAGCAGCTCTCTTCCGCTGCCAAACGATTAGACCAAGCCATCCAAGTTGGGGCTCAGAGGAACATGTCGTCTACTTTGGGTGTATCTCTTGGGGGTGTCGATTTGGAATCTGCAAATGTTAGAAAAGTGGAGTCAAGAGTTGATAAAAAGAAGTTGGAGAAAGCTGAAAGAAAGATTGCTGCTAAACAAAGCAAGAAGGAATTCAAGGCCGTCGAATATGAGGCTTCTAAACTTATCAATCAACCCGATGACGCCCAGTCATATGAAGAGTTCTTCATGGCTGTCAATCCTTTGCAATTGGGATCGGGTCAATCTACAAAGAGCAAGGACATCAAGGTCGACAATATCGATGTTTCTATTGGTGGGTTGAGAATTTTGTCAGACACAAATTTGACCTTGGCTTATGGCCGAAGATATGGTTTGGTAGGTCAGAACGGTATCGGAAAGTCTACTCTATTGAGAGCTTTGGCAAGGAGAGAATTGGCTGTACCTACTCACATTTCTATTCTTCACGTCGAGCAAGAAATCAGTGGAGATGATACACCTGCATTACAAGCTGTACTTGATGCAGATGTATGGAGAAAACACTTACTTGCAGAACAAGTCAAAATCTCCAAACAACTCGCAGACATGGAAGTAGAAAGATCATCGATGGCCGATACCTCTGAGCAAGCAGAGAAGCTTGACAAAGAGCGTGAGGGTCTCGATCAAACATTGGGTGATATTCAAGGCAAGCTTGCAGAGATGGAATCTGATAAAGCCGAGTCTCGAGCTGCAACCATTTTGGCAGGTCTTGGTTTCTCTCCTGAACGACAACAATTTGCTACCAAGACATTCTCTGGTGGTTGGCGTATGCGTTTGGCATTGGCTAGAGCCCTGTTCTGTGAACCTGATCTTCTACTTCTTGACGAACCGTCTAACATGTTGGACGTTCCTTCTATCACTTTCCTTGCCAATTACCTTCAAGGATATCCAAGTACAGTTTTGGTAGTTTCTCACGACAGAGCATTCCTGAACGAAGTTGCAACTGATATCATCCATCAACATTCCGAACGTCTCGACTACTACAAGGGTGCCAATTTCGAATCTTTCTACGCTACAAAGGAAGAACGCCGCAAGACAGCACAACGAGAATACGAGAACCAAATGGTTCAACGTGCTCATCTCCAAGCATTCATCGACAAGTTCCGTTACAACGCTGCCAAATCCTCTGAAGCCCAATCCAGAATCAAAAAGTTGGAAAAGATGCCGATTCTCGAAGCCCCTGAATCCGTCTACACGGTTCATTTCAAATTCCCTGAGGTGGAAAAGCTTTCTCCTCCAATTGTTCAAATGACAGATGTATCCTTCGGCTATACTCCCGACAAGCCTCTCCTCCGCAATGTCGACCTGGACGTACAACTCGACTCTCGAATTGGTATCGTCGGACCCAACGGAGCCGGTAAAACCACCGTTCTCAAACTTCTCATCGGAAAGCTCTCTCCCACTGGAGGACTCATTTCTCAAAATCCTCGACTCCGCATTGGTTTCTTCGCACAACATCACGTCGATGCTCTCGATTTAACCACCAGCGCCGTCGGCTTCATGACCAAGACCTATCCCGGAAAAACCGACGAAGAATATCGTCGTCACCTCGGTGCCTTCGGTATAACCGGTATGACTGGTCTTCAGAAGATGGAACTTCTTTCCGGAGGTCAAAAATCTCGTGTCGCATTCGCCTGTCTATCTCTACAAAATCCACATATCTTGGTTCTTGACGAACCTTCCAATCACTTGGATATTGAAGCTATGGATGCGTTGAGTCAAGCATTGAATGCATTCCAAGGTGGTGTGCTGATGGTTAGTCACGATGTTACAATGTTGCAAACGGTATGCACAAGTCTTTGGGTTTGTGATAACGGAACCGTGGAGAAATTCCCTGGGGACGTGCAGGCTTACAAGAAGAGAATCACAGCACAGGCAGATGCAAGTGGTGTTGTGCAGGCTCATTAGGAAATGTTCAAAAATTACAATTTCTCAACTTATCCTATTCCAAGTTTCAAATTGCAAGTCATATGATGGTTCCATTTCTAGCGTTTTTATATCCAATATTCCCACCATTCACAGCACGCCTAGTATCCCTTTTCCCTATCCACTAAATTAATAAGGTCTCTCCCCTTTTCTATATTCTCCAAGTTCGCATCCAAAATTGCAAAACTCCTCTCCGCATACGTCGTCCCAAGCCCACTGACGTGAGGTGTAATAGCCACATTTTCCAAGGTCCATAGTTCGTTATCTTGAGGTAAAGGTTCTGGGTCCGTAACATCTAATGCAGCTCCCCTCAAACCTCCCTCACTTAATGGCTTCTTCAAATATGTAATCAGGTCATCTTGATTAATGATACCACCCCGGGCAATGTTAATGATGAAAGCGCTTGTTTTAGATCCCAATATTTCGAATTCAGCTGCGGAAAGGAAGTGGCGAGTTTGTGGTGTCAGGGGAACGGAGATCAGGAGAATATCAATATCCTGTTTGAGGAAGTTATGCAGACTCTCCTTGTCGAGTCCGGAGTACCAGGCAGACGGAAGTGTGCCATCTGGATCGCCAGTATTGGGGACGATGTATTTACCCTCATCTTTCTTAGACTCAGGGGTCGTGCGAGGCGATGCCGTATAAGCTATAACATCCATTCCCATAGCTTTACAGATTCTCGCAGCTTGTCTGCCAATCGCTCCATACCCAAGAACACCTAGTCTTTGACCCACACAATCTCTCATTGAACCCAATTCTTTAAAATCTCCCCAAACATGCTTCTTCTCCCACTCAAGCATTATCTTCTCCTTATGCGAATGACTCAAGATCTGCATGATAACCCATTCTGATATCTGCGGTCCATGTACACCAGACGAGTTTGTAATTGGAATTTTGGTGTCTTTCCAGATGGGAGTATTGCTCAATCTATCTGTGCCAGCGCTGAAAAGATGAACGAGTTTGAGATTCTTCGCTTTCTCGGCGGAAGGAGGGAAGGATGAGAGGGTAACGAGTATAGTTGCATGATGCCAGGTTTCTGAGAGGCGAAATAAAATTGTTAGAAAACCCCGAGGCCCGGAACTTTGGGAAATGAGAATGAAATGACAAGGCAGGTAACTCACCATCTGGCACATCCGCAAGGTCCAATGCCTTCCCTACACCAAAGAATATCTGTTTGTATGTGATCTCCACGTTATACTTCTGTCTCAACCTATCCAAAATTTTGGCATCTTCTGGAAAAGGGAGAAGACATAAAATATGCTCTTGTTGTTGAGGAACTTCGCCCATGATTGTAGATGTAAGTAAAGTCAAACGATCAGTGGCAATTGTGTACATAAATTACAGATAGAATAGATACTAGAAGCTCGGAAAAGGCAATGAGGCTTTATATATTGAGTTTACAGACGATGAGAACAGAACGAGATAATAAACGTAATAGTATTTCACACGTAATCCATCTCACACGGGGTGATATTAGTGGATATTGGTCACAATTGAGAAACTTATTTGGATTTATCATCCTCAAATTGGGTGCTCACCGAGGTCGCACCCACTCGTCTCATCCTAGAGTATTTATCGACTCACTCGTATCTGTCTGAGCATCCATGGATTTTGTGGTACAGTCACAACCCGCTGAGAGTAGTAATCCAGTTACCCCGCTGCACCTCTCAAGGTTTTCGGCGCTAAGATAAGATAAGAAGTTGCATGAAATTTCCTGATAGGCTTCTGATTCCATGCCAGAATGACAGAAAGGATGCTCAATTATCACGATATACATCCGGTTCTGCGAGCTTCTGTAATAGAAAGGAAGTTGCGAACTCAATGCAAGGATGACGGAAGGATTGATACAGGATCACGACATTGAGTCAGTTCGGTCATCTTCGTCCAAAGGCCATAAAACAATATTAAAGATGCTGGAGTTTTACTTTATTCTGATTCCTTGAAACTAAATCTATTAAGTGAAAATCTATTGCGAAGGTTGTTTGCGAGCCATTTCATCATGCTCTTCAATATCCTGGGCCTCCCATGGATAACAAATCCATACATCCTCAACGGTTCTTGCGGCGAGATATCTATCATCCTTCAACATATCCTCAGGGAGCGTACCCTTCTTTTCCTTGTTCTTGTTCTGTCCATGTCAACGCATTAGTAAATCCCCTTTTTAATCGCGCATATCAAAAATCGATGAATCACTTACATGTAAAACAAAGATAGAGAAGACAGTCTTTTCACCTTGACCACCCAGCTTTTGTCTAGCAAGCTCGACATCCTTCTCCAACTCCTTAACAGCATACTCCAAAGTGGTTCGTGTATCATCAACTTCATCGACGATCAAAATTCTCTTTCCGACCAAGTTCTCCATGTTACCCAAGCTGTTCAAATCTAACCATTGAGTTCTGGTAACCTTTGTGCCCACTTGCTCAACCTCTCCTGGAGTATTTGAAGCCGAGGGGTGTGTAGGAGGAAGCTGTTCGTATAGCGAAAGACCAATAGCTTGAATTGGAATATTAGGACTTCCAGGTTGTTTCAAAAACGATCGCAGAATACGCGCGGGGACATATCCACCACCACCAATAGCGATCATAAGCTGAGGTTGGAAGTCTTCGAGAATACGTGGTGCGGCTTCTTGACAGAGTTTGTGGACCTAAGGAAGGTTGTCAGTGGTGCTTCTTTGCTCGGAGGGGTAATGTAAGGTCAGAGGGGCATCTTGAGCTTCTGTGTGCGCGCATACCTGGTTATAGGTCACATATTCTTTGACAACCATCTTTAATATGATATGTAGGATGTTTTTATGTGATATGTAGATCTGTGTAACTTGACGAAGAAAATGTGAATCTATTCCAAGATTTTTTTACTGAACTTAAACACCCGGAGTTTACCTGAAAAGAGTTGTGAAAATAAAATTATTCAAAAAGTTCGTGATCCCAGTGTCCGGGGAGTCACTGGTCGTATGCAGTATACCGTACTGTACTATAACTAGCTAGGTAGATAAACTAGCGGACTTCGCCTGCTGCAGAATCTTTAATTTCACTCCTGTTGGTTGACTATATGACAGATAATTGGTTGTATTTGCTATGTAGATACATTTTTGCTGCTGGTATTAAATGTACGACAATAGAGAATTCTATAAAGAATTCTAGTGCATATATCATTGGATACCCAGCTATATCAGTCAGTCGCAGTCTCTCTCTCCAGCATTTACATATGAAACAATGATATTTTGTGTGCTTTTTGTACCCCATTTTACAATATTTTAGCCTTACTGCGGTTATTCGTGAACGAAACCCTCATCCGTCATTTTTATTTGATGCAATGCAGCATTACCTATCTGGGCATCCTTATCTCATTGTTTGTATCCCATCTATATGATAAAGTCTTCAGGATGGCCAGCCACGTCGTGAATCATCATGGCAACCATTCGTATAGGTCACACATTGACTCGAATCAAATGCTAAGAGTATATAAAAACTTCGTATGGTTGGTATATTTTACATTATTTCATTCCTCATTTCATTCCTCATTTCAAAACTCTCCCGCCAGTTGTGATATCAAATACCACTTGCGAGTTTCTGGATTGGTTTAGAGGTAGATCATATTTAGGACCCATAACTTCGATTGGTGGGAGAACTAGTAAGTAGCTCAGAACGATCACGCCAAACACACTCGTTGCTACTATTCACACTTTTCCACACATCAGTTTGTGCGAGATCTGCTAAGTATACATATCTGATATATTGAACACCTCGTGACTGATTCCATCCTTCGCAAACATGCCAAGACCAGCTCCAAACCTTAACATTCCCCCATCTTCCACCACCGTAAGTGTCCGTATCATCGATACTACTTCTCACATATCTGGTATTCCCCTCTCCGAGTTTGTTTCTCCCGCTATTTCTGGACACACTCACTTTTCTATCCCCGCCTACTCATTTCTCATTGAGCATCCCTCCTCCCGTTCTCTCCTCTTCGATCTTGGTGTCCGCAAAGACTGGGAAAATCTCGCTCCCCGCATTACCGAACGTATCAAAGACGGCGGCTGGAAAGTCACTGTTCAGAAAGGTGTACGTGAGCAACTAGAGGAACATGGGGTATTGGCTGCCAGTATTGAAGCCGTAGTCTGGAGTCACTGGCACTGGGATCATATTGGAGATCCTAGTACATTCGACGAATCCACCGCTCTGGTCGTTGGCCCCGGATTCAAAGAGTCCTTCACTCCGGGTTACCCTTCCGATAATTCCTCCCCTATTCTTGAAAGCGATTATGCCGATCGTGAACTCCGTGAAATAGCTTTCAATTCCGGTCTCAAAATTGGCCGCTTCGATGCATTTGATTACTTTGGAGATGGTTCTTTCTATTTGCTCAATAGTCCGGGGCATACTATAGGCCACATGTGTGCGTTAGCTAAGGTCAAATCGAATCCAAATTCGTATGTATTTATGGGAGGTGATGCGTGTCATCACGGGGGCGAATTTCGACCTTCACCTTATCATCCTCTTTCAGAATTTCTCACACCACCTCCTTTGCCGAGTTACGGGATAACCTGCCCAGGTTCGCTCTTTGAGCCTCTTCTACGCGATAATGACAGACACAAACCGTTCTACGCGATAGCGCGAAGGGATGATGGAAAAGAGGTAGCGCATGATGTAGACGAGGCAGAGAGAACGATTGAAAAGGTCATGGAAGTGGATGCATCGGATGAGGTACTAGTTGTCATGGCACACGATGAGACATTGAAAGATGTGGTATCTTTTTTCCCTCATTATGCCAATAACTTTAGGGAAAATGGATGGGTGGAAAAGGGAAGATGGTTATTTCTGAGAGATTTTATAGGGGCTGTGAAGGATCAAAAACTATAGAATTTCATTACATCATCTGTGAAGATTATACATAAAAGTAATCTGAACTTCTCTCTTCAAGACCAAACCACCAGTTCAGATTCCTCTTTAAAAATGTTCAAAAAACGGAATTTCGGCGCAGACAATACTTTACATTTCTGCAGATCCTGCTCAGCTTCCTATTCGTCTATTTGGTTCCGGCACTCATTCAACTTACAGTACCACAGACCATCGATGCGAAAGGCATAGCTATATTTTATCAATACATTTTCATTGAGGTCTACACTACAAGTAAGTATCTTGTCATAATACAATCGTGGGATAGTCGACCTGCTCGGATTGTTGAAGTCTTGGACAGCTAACAACTGCGGGATGACTTGACATAATATGCGGGCTTTTGGCCCCTGAAAGTTCGTATTGCGTTTGATCAGGGTTCAGTTGATTTCAGATTGTTCGTCAGCCTACTACGATCTAAATCGTTGAGGAGACGATTAAAGACAATTTCATATTGCTTGAGGCTCATCCGCATGACTTTTCGATATCAAGAACTGGATGTGAAATTTGAAGTTTGTGTTACCATTGGCTTCAGAAGAGCCTAGCGTTTCAGAATTAGTAAATGTGGTAGCACAAACCTGGAAGTTATTTCCCGAGTATTTTTGGAGCTCATAGATGTGGGGGTCGGGAACTATTCGATATGGATATATTAACTACCCCTCGCCCACGAAACTGGAGTGGGCGAAGGAAAGCTCTGTGTATCCCGTCTCTCTTGTCATCCTACTTCGAATCAGGTTTACTATTCATGAGAGAAAACACTTACAAGCAATATCCTTAAAGTTTTGGAATAGTCACAGTGGATACATTATATCAGAATGTTCGCAGATCTTTGAGATACTAGCATAATCTGCAACCATCGATGTAATGCACTTCCAAGGAATCTTGATATAGGGGTGCTCGACGCACGTAGTGAAGAAGTTCACAAAATCGGAGACTTCTTCAAAATTCGCAGCCAGGTGTTACACGCGAGAAGTGCATTCGGTAGGACGATTTATATCAAATATGATACCCCGCATTGGTGTGGTTGTATTGGTACCCAATATCAGACTCCTTTAAGTATTGCTGAAAACTTTCTTCTTCATACATTTCTCGCCAGGTTAGAAGTATCTTTCCAAACAGGTGTACCATGTATCCATGAGTTGTGTACATGATTCTCATAAGCCCCAAAGCACGATAGTTATACAGAATGATCATGAGGATAATCTCATCAGGAGAGGCGGCTGAAACATCGGCAATACGCGGCACGCCAGCTCAATACCAGCACGGGATATGAAGGGCGACTTGATGGAGAAGTCGCTTTCAAGGATGAGTAGCTGCTTTTTCTAACGTTGCCCGTTGCTCGTCGCCACTGTTATCATCCATTTCTATACATTCCCGCAGATTTAAAAGCCCAGCTACCCAACGGAGTACAACAACCTGAAGAGATGATAGGCTGAATCCAACCTTGTGATGAAGACGAAATAGATGAGGTTGCCAATACTCTTCCGATGGCTTTTGATATACCAGGTCAATGAGATATAAGGTACCGAAGCTTTCACCCTAGCTCTCAATGCACCCCTACTCACAATGCATCCCACTAACGAAAATGCGAGCGAGCCGCGATACTCAGAGATTTTCACTATAAAAATTGAAAGACATTTCTTTTCTGAGGCTTGAATGCTTGGCTTGGGCTACTACCATCGCCACAATGCGGCCATGCTCATTGACGACCCTTTACTCCAGACGCTTTACGAGGAACAAGCTTCGCGACTCAGAGTCGGTGATCATGAGACAGGATCAAGGAACCACTGCTCTGCTTTTTTATCTCACCAATTCTATGAGATCGAGGTAAGATGTATTGCACGTGGGTCACACATGCATTGAAGATTCATGGTGTGATATTGCAAATGTGACAAGCTGTTTCGAAGTGGCTGGGCTTGTCAGCTTGAGAGATTTTAGAAGTACTAGGTAGGTGGGATATCCGACAGGAAGAGCACAGATGGGAAATGCCACATGGCGATACCTAACCAATAGGAATGAAGTCTAGGCCCATTTCTGGATTTCTTGGGGAGTTTCTCTAATATTTTCTAGTTTCTGTACAGCCCCTTTTGACTGCTAAATAGATGTCCATTCGGTTAGTTCTAAGTGAACAAGAATGTACGGTACATTTAGCAAACATTTGAATTAATTTCACTGGTTCCTACTCGAGTAATTGCTGATAATTAACTGCTAAATTGATCATACTTCTAGACGTCGTAGTGATAACAGATAAGCAAGGGTCCAGAAAGTCTCAAAGACTCCACTCCGTACCTGTTCATCTCAGGCTTTGTCCACTATTTCTTGAGTTGTAACCAATACAATTCGTAGTAAGTCTGTACGGTAAGTAACCGAACCCCAGAATCCCCCCGCCATTTCAAACATTCACCAATTTCGACACATTTTTTTCTTATTTCACTAACACACATTCACTCCACATTGGCGTCAATTGTCAAAACATACTAACAATTCAATTCAATTCATTAACAAACTTAAATTTATGATATTATCTTGACCTCTCTCTTCCAATCATAATGTTTCCAGTCCTCCAAAATGGATCCTGCAAGCCAAGAGCTATCACACACTTACAAACATATCATTCAAAGCTTACGATTATCCTAGACCCTTGAATCTTCAGATGTTAAAAAGGTATGTCCCCTCATCTCTTTGTTGAATGTACCTAATAAGATGTATCCCTCTACTAACATACTTCGGTAGCTCAATAACTAAAACCTACCTAGCTTACCTTGACGTCTAAGCATTCATACTAATAATTGACGACTCCATCAATCATCTTTCTTCCAATTCTTCTGCCTTTCGAGGTTCGATCTCCTTCGTTCAACAATACGCCTTGATAACGACCATATCCTCTTCAAACCGCCGTCATGGCGACCCTCACTACGACGATTGCGACTACTGTCACAGCAGCCAGTAGTGCTGTCAGCGCCACTTCTACAAATCGCGCCGCCCCTCAGGGTGGAATTTTAGAAGGCGGAAACCCTACTGTCTACAATCCTTCAAATCCTATTGTTTTGTTCATCATTCAGGTATGCTTCTTTCTTACTTATTTGCGCATTCTCCTGCAAGCATCGATGGTGGAACGTATGGTCGTTCAAGCAGAGCTTCATGCCGTCATTGCAGAAAGACCTACAGAATGTCAAATTCACAAAATAATTCCGCTCGATCAACAAAACGGCCTTTTGCGCATCATAAATGGATTTGGCTAATTTGCTTTCAATTACAGGCGGGCATCATCATTATCTTCTGTCGTCTTCTTCATTACCCTTTATCCAAGCTTCGGCAACCTCGAGTCATTGCAGAAGTAATAGGCGGAATCATTTTGGGTCCTTCAGTCATGATGCGCATTCCTGGGTTTCAAGAAACTATATTCCCCGTTGCCTCGATGCCGGTTTTGAACATGGCCGCCAATCTCGGATTGATACTCTTTCTTTTCCTTGTTGGTCTAGAAGTTAATATGCGACTTTTCCTTGGTAACTGGAGAGTAGCCCTGAGTGTTGGATTGGCCGGAATGATATTGCCTTTTGGCTTGGGTTGCGCCGTCGCTTACGGTCTCTATAACGAGTTTCGACATGATCCGGGAACTGTGCCTATCTCATTTCCGGTCTATATGCTATTCGTCGGCACAGCTCTTGCGGTACGAGATCAAACTCCATCTACTTGAATTGATTACTGACATCCACTATAGATCACAGCTTTCCCTGTCCTCTGTAGAATCCTTACCGAGTTAAACCTCCTCGCTACACCCGTCGGAGTCACAGTTCTCGCTGCTGGAGTTGGTAATGATGTGACAGGATGGATTCTTTTAGCCCTTTGCGTTGCCTTGGTCAATAACGGATCGGGGCTCGCAGCGTTATGGGTGTTGCTCGTTTGTGTTGGCTGGTGTCTTTTCTTAGTGTACGCTGTTCGTCCTGTGTTTAGGTATATTCTTCGCCGCAACGGAAGTCTTGAAAATGGCCCCTCTCAAGGAATGGTTGCTCTCACAATACTAATTGTCCTGGCATCGTCTTGGTTTACTGCTATCATTGGAGTTCACGCTATTTTTGGAGGTAAGGCCAACTTGAATCATGTCTGATAAAAGCTTCGCTAACTTGAATCTTAGCCTTTCTCGCTGGACTCATATGTCCCCATGAAGGTGGTTTTGCTATTCATCTCACAGAAAAGATCGAAGATCTAGTCGCAGTGCTACTTCTACCACTTTACTTCGCCTTGTCTGGATTGAGTACCAATCTTGGTCTACTGAACGATGGAATGACATGGGGCTATGTTATTGCAATCATTGTTGTTGCATTCTCAGGCAAAATCATCGGAGGTACGCTTGCGGCCAAAGCTTGTAGGCTTGTCTGGCGTGAAAGTCTCAGTATTGGAGTTTTGATGAGTTGTAAAGGTCTCGTTGAATTGATTGTCCTTGTAAGTTGATTTGGTGTGAAACCGGTTACATGGACTCTACTGACACAACCAGAATATTGGTTTACAAGCCAAAATTTTGTCGACAAGGACTTTCACCATATTTGTTGTGATGGCACTTGTCACAACCGTTGCCACAACGCCGTTAACAACCGCACTATACCCGCCTTGGTACCAGAAGAAACTCGAGGCCTGGAAGAAAGGAGAAATTGATTGGGAAGGTAACAGACTTCACCCTGAAGGTGATGAGTATACTCCAGACCGATCTTTGGAAAAGCTGGACTCTACTCAAGTCCGACGACTTCTTGTCTACCTCAGACTTGACAGTCTTCCTAGCTTGTTCACTTTCATTGCACTATTGGGGGGTGATAATACGAGTACGGTTACCAAAGTTCACAGGTCGAAAGCCGAATTGGAAACAGTAGATGAGGATGGTACTCCTTCATCATTAATTCCAAAAAAACAGCCGCTTGAGGTCCATGGTGTTCGCCTGTTAGAACTCACTGATCGTACTTCCTCAGTCATGGCTGAAGTTGACGAATACACACACCGTGATCCAGTCGTCAACGCCTTCCGCACCTTTGCTCAACTAAATAACGTTGCCGTCTCAGGTGGTGTTTCCGTCGTTCCTGAGTCGGATTATGCCGAGGCTTTGACCACACAAGCAGCAGACAACTTTTCCGATCTAGTTCTCATCCCTTGGACCGAACCTAGTATGCTACCAGTCAACGAAGTTCATCATGATTCATTTTCCAGCGGCCTTCAGGATATTTTTATACAGAAGACGCTTGAGATCGCTAGCTGCAATATTGCCATTTTTGTCAATCGTGGCTTTGGTGGACCAACCCTGAGGGAGCCTCGCAATCTCTCATCAAGTGCTAGTCGACTCAGTCTTCGCAGTAGTCAACGTGCAGAAAGAGTTGCTCCTATTGCAGATCGCAGTCACCACGTTTATTTTCCATTTTTCGGTGGCGCTGATGATCGTGTCGCTCTTCGTTTTGTTCTTCAACTTGCGCAAAACAATAACATCACAGCAACTATCATTCATTTTATCACTCCTATTCATAGTCCCAAGACATTTGAAGTAAAGCATGGCTCTCGTCCAGCTACTGCTACCGGTTCTCAACATGGTGGTAGTTCTGGATCGGCGTTACGTATCACGGAGCGTGTCGATACTGAGGAGCTTTACAATGCAGCTGCGTCCGACACCGCTCTTCTACATACATTACGAGACTCCTTACCTCAACCATTGACGAATAGAGTAGTTTTTGTCGATGTTAAGACTACAACCCCATTGACCGATTGTTTACATCATGCAAAGGTTGAAATGGGTCAAAGTCCTCGCAATGCAGGAGACTTAATTGTTACAGGCAGAGGTAGAAGCTCACTCGCTATGGCGCTAATTAATGAGGAGAGTGCCAGTGGGGAGAGCGGAAAGGAAATGAAGAAGACTGTTGGAGTGGCGGCGGAGGCGTTGATTAGCAGTGGAGTTAGAGGAAGTGTTTTGGTCATTCAAGCTGGAGGGCGAGGTCTGGAAAGCTGAAGAGTTCATTAAGAGAACCATATATTTTGGATAATATACAAGGCGGAACTCATGCTACTTCGGTCGGATATACAGGGGTGCTTTAGGTGCATATGGGACTTGAGTACAGGATGGAATTTGGTGTTTTTTGGGATACGATACCTTATGATATGATATGACAGGATATACGTTGTTGCTTTTCATCTCTCACATACTGGATATACATGTGGTGGTTCATTACGTTGACGAATTGGGAAGTCATTTTGGCGGGTTTTTGAATGATCCAAATTTGGATCAATGCATACTTCATATCTGGTCTAGTTTAGCATTGCCTTGGATCTCCGGATACAATTTTTGTACCGAAAATTAGTCTAGTTAATAGCAAGATCGTTGCTTGACCCCATTACTATCTTGTTTTGTGTGAATTCTACCACGGATTGTTGTACCGAAATAGTTTTTCCTGATACCTGTGGCATGGGTGTTATCAAAAGTGATATGACATGTTATGATATAAGATTAATGATTGGGGATGTGAAGGTGACTTGCGTACTCGCAAGGATTCACAACACATCAAGAAGTATGGTCATAGTGTTCTGATCGGAATAGATTATCAATATGTTTATTTATTACTCAAATTGGGTCAATTTTTAATATAGAAGGACTATCCATATATACATACATCCAACCTTCATTAGTTTCTTCATTAACACATAGTCCTTATATATTGATCATATACAATTCAACGCAGGCTACACCCGCTCAGCATTTCCTCATGTCAAGCAGACCCGCATCTCATTCTCACACCTAAACCATATCAGTCCTAACAGCACCCGCATGTTCTGTCATGGCAGCTTCCCTATTGCGGAAAAAGACCTTGGAGCTCAAGTCGAAGATCGGTAATGGGCATGGCACGCCCGTCGTGGCACACGATGTGATGACGGCCAGATACCTATGAGATTTAATTAGCATTTGGTCGTTGCGTATTTAAAATGTCTTGATAAGAAAAGGAATCGAGAAGGAGAGACTCACCATCCCATTATTATAGTCACAAATCCAAATCCGCCCGCAATCTTAAACATGTGCGTTGCATTCTCCAAGCCCGCTTCGGAGGGATTGTATCCCAATTGGTAGTAACCGCCTGCGAAAAAACCAAAAACGAATATCAAGGTGAAGAATACGATTACAAACGGGACGTTGGTTCTCAGACTGGCGCAGAGGAAGACGAAACAGACGAGTGCCATGACGACGGCGTAATTTCCCTGTCCGGCATTGTATTCCTGACTCAGAGCGCCGGGCACCGCGACGCCGTTGACGGTGTTGGCATAGGAGGCGGCGATGCCGTGCAGGGGATCGTTGAGGTATCCGTTGTAGACCCAGTGCACGCCGAAGATTATGAAGACGGAAAAGGGGAAGGAGTTGCCGAGTACAAATTCGCAGATGCCCGCGATGATCATGGCGATGCCGCCGAACATGTAGAAGGTTCCGCTGACGGAGACGAGGGAGGAGGTGGAGGAGCCTTGGAAGGTGAGGAGCGAGAAGACGGTGGAGGAGAAGGGGACGAGGAAGCCGAGGAGGCCGAGGAGGGTGGGGTTTCCTGGGGTTGGTTAGTGGGTAGGGTGGGTTGGAAAGGGGATGGGGAGTTTGGGATATGGAAACTTACCGAGTCGTTTGACCAGATCACCTTTGGCGGATGAGGGCTGGAAGAATAGTCGTTCGTATTGATCGGTGTTTAATTGGAGAGTTATTTGACGGGATAGATCGGGTCCACCGGCGACGTGTTGCACGTATGGTTTGTCGTGATGGATATCATCGTGTGAGGTATCGAGTGAAGACATGATTAGATAGGATGTGATGTTTTCCTAGGTGAAAGCCAAGAGTATGAGATGAGATGGAATAGGTTATCAAGACGACTGACTATCAACCGTTGAAAGCGATGCAGCACAATAGCATTAGGAGAGAAAAGAAAAATGCAAGCTTCCCGACTCAAGAAGAAGAAGAAATGAAAATGAAAATCCCGCACATTCAAGACCCGGCGGTTGCGTTATTATATACACTTTCAAACTGAGCACGCATCCATCATCGCAACAGCAATACCTAGACTCTCCACGCGCAGATCCGTGCCATGCAAGCCCCATCCCAAAGCCTGCCGTGTGCATTCTCATTCTCCAGATTGCACATTGCAAACTTGCAATAGCGTCCCCTTCCCCGGACGGTCTTCTCCAGAGTCCAAACACCATTCATGGCTTGCAGATCTGGGGAACTTTCCTTGCAAGAGCATGGCATGCAATGCCCACATCCAACTCCACATCACGACTACCCATCCCCCTAGCAAATAAGCAATAGCTAGACCCATCATCCCTCAACACAAATCTCCCCTCCTTCCCTCCCAACAACTCACGCGATTCCCGTTACAAGATGCCCATCTCCTACGCCACAGTACAGCGCACTAGTCAAACGCGAACGGAAAATCCTCCCCATCCAGCCTAGTCCCTCGTCTTCCCCAGCATCACCCATCCCAAAACAGACCACCGATCCCCCAAACAGGAGAGAGGGGTTTGAATCTCGACCCAGAACCTCGGAACAAATAACATGTACCGGGCATTTATTACCTAATACCTGGTGTACATACGATACATGCCAGAGATACGAATGATACGATGAGAGGATGGCATAGGATATTCAGTAACCTTAACCTTAACACACCTACCTCACCGCGCCTCGCTTAACCCCACAAACCTTCGTCACGCCCAGTGTATCGAAGAGAGCGGAATCAAGAAAAGTATGGGTTAGTGGAAGGAGAAGTGGCAAGTCAAACCGGCACTTTAGATTTTGTTTTTACTTTTTTTCTCGTTCTCGCTTGTTACTCGAGTACAGTATATACATTGCTGTCTATTTCGTTGATCGATGCAGAGTGTGATAATGTATTACATGGTGATGTGATTTATCACATTATTCAATCTCAATTGCTCAACTACATGTTGATTATATAATCTACGAACACCTCCAAACCAAACAAATGAATTAACGAACGCAATCTCAACACCGACATCAAATGCTTTCTCACACTACACTACACCACCTATACCACGCATCCCCAAGTTCAAAGTCCAAACTTCAAACCCATCAATCAATCAATCAATCAATCAATCAATCAACCACCCCTAAACCCACAACATGGAACCATTCCGTTCTCTCCTCTCTCCTCTCTTCTCTCACCCCAAGATTGATCCTCAAACCATCAAATTCATCAAACCAACTCAAACAAACCTAAACTCCTAACTCCACTCCACCTCTCAGCCACCACCACCACCACCTCCACGGACAAGAGGAAGCAAAGTTCCGTTCCGCGATTCGTTACTGTTAAATGTACTATCATGCTAATACCTAAGCTACTAAGTTACTAACCTACGAATACACTAAAACATCAACAAAATACCAGCATCCTAACATCCTCCTGCTCTAGGTCTCACCCCATTCCATCCCCATCCCCATTCCATCCCATCTCATCCCATACCTCTCCCTCACTTCCAATCTCTCAAACCCCAACCTCGCCACCCGATCCCCATAACCAAACCCCAATCCCCAAACCTCATAAAGCAACCCCCATCCTACCCCATTCCATCCCAATCCAATCCAACTCTCTCCAAAGTCAATTTCAGAATAAAGAACAACTCCAACATACCAAATGGGGTATCCTCCCATCCTCCCATCCTCCCATCCCCCCATCTTTCAAGCCTTCCTCGCCTTCCAGTCTTCTAGCGCCCTTCACATATGCGGGGTAAACCAGACAATCAACGGGAATTTAAATTTTCCCCAGCCTCGGTATCGTTGATCTGCGACGAGCTAACGGTAGTAGCCTAGTAACCTACGCTAAGAAGCCCAGTTCCCCAAGTTTAGTGCTCGCTTTTTTCATGCCTTTTTGTTGATCTTTTGTTGAATTTTTTTAGTGCTGGAGGGCTTCATGTAGATCTTGGGTCGGTACTCGAAAGTGACACATATAGACAGCACAGACGCACGAGCATATACACACACATATATCTACATATCTACACATCCACATATCTACAAGTCTATGTATATACAAGTCTCACATCAAGTCAAGAAGTAAAATTGAACGTGTATAAATGGCTTTGAAAAGCTTTGGTATATTGATTTTTGCTTTCATCCTATCTTATTTGCTCTTGTACTCTCAGCTCCATGTTTTGTTGCTCTCCCCTTTTGTGTATCCCATGGGGTCTCTCATCTCTCCGTGTATTCTTAACATGCATGGAAGATATACACATCATGGAATTTACCAAATACCTATGTCCAATCCATCTTCGCCATCATCTTGATGCCTACTTTGCTATCCAGTACCCGCACTTTCTGATCCCGATTCAATCTTCAACGCCCATCCATATCCTCTCCAATTCCTTTCCAATCTCACACTTAAAAAATTTAACAAAAACCCAAACTCCCCCGCTTTTGACGCCTTTCGCAATCAATCACGAACCGTAGCCATTAAGGCCTTGCAATGATCCATGCAAATTCCTCGCAACAAAAAAGATAAAGTGAAGAAGCAAGAAAAAAGAATTGACTCAAACAAAGCCTGCTTCGGAAAGAGCCACCCAACTCTTATCATCTCGTCTGATCTCCCAAATTATTTCGTACACTGATATAATATGTTCATACAGGGTCACAGAATCTCTTATCTGTATCCTCAACGCCGTCAAGCGTGCACTATTTTGTGCCGGTTTGATGTCTACCGCCAGAAATTAGAGGTTGGTGTGAAATGGTAAGAGTATCAAGAAAAAGCCCGAGAAGGATGGAAATTTGTTCCCATCTCCCGAGGTTCATTTGGATTTTTGTGGTTGTCATGTATGTCGTTTGAAAGAATCCGTCGATACATTCGGAAATCCGGTAAAAAGTAAAAAGTAAAAGAAAAACATTATGATTTTTCGGTCCGTCGTCGGAATTGATCTCTTCAATGCATTCGTGCTAAAGTAACATATGCTGATTAAGTGATGAATGCAATGGTATGAAAGGCTTGTGCCATTAGAAGAAGCACCCCCTGGTTGGCAAGAAGATCCAGGAGATGCATGTGAGTAAGAAGGAAAAAAAGTCAACAACAGAACGTTTTATGGCAGCTTGAACCCGTCGCTATGCAGAAATGAAATTACGGCCATCATTAAACGACCTGTGTATGTACAAGAATTCGTGTCGGCGTGAATAACTGTTCAAAGTGAAACGCTCATGTTGTGTGATGAGAATGGTAGTTTGTTATACAACAGTCATCATGTGCATTCTTTGGCCCAAGCTTCTTGTTGGTGAGGAATTCATCGAGCCACTGAGCATAGAGTTGCTGCTATGACTTCGGGGAAGGCGTTTTGAAGCAGGGGATAGCGTTGGGTCAGTGAAAACGCGAGTGAATGCCGGGCTTGACTCGCGATGAGGTGTACAAACTGGACTTTGAATAGTACCATCGGTTTCACGGATGATGTCGGCCAATTTTCGACTCAAAACCGAAGCACGATGGACTAAGTCGCGGAGACTGGTCGTGTCGAATGGCATTTTGTTTGGAGATTGCTCAACCACTTCTGACAACCAAGGATCTGAAGTAGAACGGTGTTGATGCATGGTTTCCATGACTGTGCGGGCAACTTCAGCCGCACTTTTCGCACTCGAAGAACGAACAGGGACAGCTGGAGGACGTAGACTGTCTCTGAGAGGGGGGTTGTGAATGACAGCTCCCGTTCCAAAGATATCATCTTCAGGCGAGAATACTGAACGTCGTCGAACAGTGCTACCATCATATACATACCCCGAAGGTTTTCCAAAGCGATCCAAGACCTCCATCGGAACATCTGGAATAGCGACATCTTCAGCATCAGGGCCACGATCGATGAACTTATCGCCAAAGTCCTGGTCAAAAGAAATAGATGTAGGAGACTGAGGGGGCGAGAGAGTAGGATCTTCTTCATCTGGCACAGCTAAAGCAATAATGCCTTCCGCTTCCTTCCACAATTGTGCTGAAGGTCCATGTATCAAGTCCTTTTCCCGAGCCAAAAGACGCAACCTCTTGAGATCTTCGACCAGCAAGCACACTTCTCGAATCTGTCCAACATGACCAACGACGTTTGCTTGGCTGGCTTGAATTGCGAGTGGCACGAACATTACACCGGTTTCAATCTTGAGATTGCCATCCTCAAGTCCCGCTTCATCGTTTGACTCGAATTCAAAATCGTTATCCCAGTCCTCACTTACGCCTTTTGCGCCCAAACCCCAGGTACCAAATTTTGGTGTCAGCTTTGTGTGGTCTCGCTGATTAATGAGATCGGGAACTAAAGGAACACTTTGACTTCTGATATGCAATGGGGTGGGGCCTTTCCGTCCGACAGTTCTCCCACCTCGTCCATTCAAGGCGAGTTGCTTAACATGTGCTGTCCTAGGTCGAGCGGAACTTCCAAGCAGATCTTTCTCCGATGTCGATGGTTCGGACCAATCAAACAAATTGCTCTTGGGTCGCTCAGCATAATGATTACCGTTTGTGGAACCACTAAGAGTAACATCTGCAAGGGCTCCTCTGTTTATTGGACTGACCCGACGACAAGACAAGCTATTTGGCGGTGACAGTTGGTTTCCCGCTTCCATATTTTCGTTCTCTTCATCTCGAGTCCAGTCTTCGTCTTCTTCATCGTTGTCCAAGTTCAGTGTAGCGAAATCTTTTGAAGCGATACAAAAGCTTGGTGGCGAAGAGGGGACAATTTCTTCTGCATCTATAGCGTAAATTGATTTCGCGACGTCGGAAGAAGTTTTGAGAAGCTTTACTGGTGTTGATTGACCTTCATCTTCCTCAACGATACGATGTTCAATTTCCCCAAAGGCGCCGTTCGCCATCAGATCGTGAATTGAAAGCCTCTTAGCCTTTCCATGTCCGTTGGCGTTTGCGATATTTGGAGGGGATTCGTCAAACATTGAGTCAAGGGGCGTATTTTGTGATCGTAGACTACTTGTGGCCCCCGACCTCAGTGAATCGTACACGGTTTCACTTTGGAAATCCAGATCTTCATCTTCACCAGATGCAAATCCTCTCATCTCATTATCTGAACCAATCAAGGTCGAAGTTCTGTCTCCCACTTCTGACAAGCCGTGTTTCGAACTCAATGCGGTATGATATGACGATGCACCATTTGTTGATCCAGGAATTGTAGAAGAGAATGAAGTGGCAGCAGTACTAGACATTGGCAGAGGTGAACTAGGACTTCGAAGAGGGGCTGACGACGAGGACGATGACAAGCCCAAACGAGCCAAATCGAGGTTGAAAGACGATAGTCGGTTGAGAGGCGGTAATGGCGATGATGTATTCCTTCGGGGAGCGTAATTGAAATGGGCAAAGGGATCCGATGGTGACACCGGGGAGAAGTCCTCGGTAGGAGAGCGAGGCTCTCTCTGGAATACCAATTGATCCATGAATGGTCGGGAATGATGTGGGGCAGGCCCACTTGCAGAAATCGATATTCTTCTTGTATCCAATGGTAGAGGTGCAGATACATGACGCCTGGCGCCCTGCGTCGTAGAATCTGAATTCCGTTTTTTATTCCTTAAGCTTCCTGTCCGAGGTATCCATGTGGTCGGTGAAGTGAAGTGCATAGAGAGTGACCGCCTTGGAGGCTTCTGATCTTCTGAATCATCTTCATCCATGGGCGAACTAGGGATGTCTTCCATTGTATTTTGGTCAATTGGTCCGTCACAAAGTAGCCCTCCTTCGTCGTAATACCCTTCCATTTCTTCAGTCGAAACAGTGATTAAATATGGTTTGACCAGAGTCGGTCGAACGGTATGATCTGGCATCACGCGCTTTGAGGTCCAGAAAAAATTATGCACATTCCCTTCTCCTGATCTTCCGGCGGATCTTTCTTTGAAAAAC